CATTGTACACACACACACACACACACACACAAATAATAAATAAAAAAAAAAAAAAATACAGAAGTGCAGGTTTACCCTGCCAGCTTGCTGGTTACAAGTGATGACTTTCTCGGTGGAAGATCTTGTGGTGTCGGGATATGGTCTCCTGTCACCAGGTTATTGTCTGGCCCGGTGGTTGGCAACTGCTTGTTCTTCATCTTTGCCTTGGCCATATTGTAGTCACCCGAGTCAAAATACTTTTGCTGAAAGAGGGACAGGATTTCAGGTTACTTTGGCAAAGTCTTAAGAAAATATACTGCCCCAAAACTTGTTGGAATATTGCCAACATACAAGACCTATCTAACCATGAATGTTTTCTTGATTTAAGAAGTAGCTTGGTCAATGTACACCATCGTGCCACTGAATTTGCAGACTCTTAGATCAGCCTAGCCGGCACGTAGAAGTATAACTATAGCTACCCCAGCAGAACACTGCTAGTATAGACAGTTATACTAGCAACAGAGGGCTTTTGCTGGTATAGTTCATTCAGTTCGGTGAGCAAAATAAACTATCCCAGCAAAAGTGCTTTTGTGCTGCTAGAACTGCATCTACAATTGGGTTTTTGCTGGCACAGCTGTGTCAAACAACAAACCCAAGCAAAATAACTCTCACAGCCCTATCAGGCAAAGCTGTGCTGGCAAGATTTATATAGCCCTGGCCTAAGAACAAACACTAAATCCTCACTTTAAAGAAGCAGTCACAGAAGACTGGAAGCCAGACAAGCAGGCTCCTTCCACACAAGGAAATCCACCTTCCCGTTTTACAAAGTATGTGTATAACACAACCAGTCACCCCCAACCAATTTTCGGCCTTTCTGTAACACTTATTTGAAAGGAGAACCATGATCATTTACTTCCTTTACCAAGGTGTACTGTAAACAAACAATTCACCAAGTACAACAGCAGCTGATAAAGCTTTATAACAGGGAATCTCAGGCCTGGTGTACGGGGGGGGGGGGGGGGGGGGGGGGGGGGGGG